GTTTTTCTGTAAGATTTTGTTCTTCTGTAAGATTTTGTTCTTCTGTATTATGTTCTACTGTAAGATGTTCTTCTGTAAAATGTATACGACAAGTACAGAAATATGAGTATCCAGGCGCATAGACAACATCCGATAGAAGATATAGATTTAAAAAAAAAGGACAGGCCAAAACTGCATTTTACAAAATGAAGGATATTTTGTGCAATAAAGATTTTGTGCCTTTGGAGTTTAGGAAAAGAATTCTCACATGCGATATACAGCCAGTTTTGACATACTGCTTGGGGTGAACGCAATCATGAACAAGAGACCAGACAAGGACATGTTATCCAATTTTATAAGAAAGTGCATCTGGAATTACATCAGCAGATACCAGACTCAGAATGAATAGGAATCTCCCTTGAAGCCCTGATAGGGACAACAGAAGATGAAATAAAACGGCGAAGAGAAGGAGAGATTCTGCGTAGAACCATCATCAGGAAAAGTTCAACTATGGCCTAATGAAAATCCAAGACCTGTATCAGTGGGCAACGAACCGACAGACATGGACATCAGAGCACTCGGGACCCTCCCAAAAGTACTCCGTTCCTATCTTCAACAGCAAGCGAACACTTCCAAATCTGACGGCACCAGTAACCGTTTGATTGTATATTCGTCTCTCCCTTTCCTAAAGTGTTGCCAAATTCCCTGGTAACTCCTCGCAGCGCCATTCTCCTGACACCTTAATGGTCTGTCTGTGCCTCCGCATTGTTCTCTCGGACATAAATGGCCCTAAAAATATATATTTTGTCATGCATCAAATCACCACCAATCTGTTTGCTTAACTTTCAACACACCAGAATGACCTGGAGAAAATATCCAAAGAATAATAAATACCTGAGACCTCTGAAGTGATGCTTGTCACTCTGTACAAAGCATTCCTATTTTCACCTTTCTCACCATGCTCTTCGAGACAGTTACAATCATGGCATGTGTCTACAGCCTATTCTAAAAACAGGGGAAGGCAGCAGAGACTGCCTCTACCTCCATTCTCAAACTAGACCTTGTAATAGCATATGCCAGGCTTTGCTGCACTAAGCGACGTCCATTTGCCTTTCTATAAACTCCCACGAACTTTGTTTACCCCTTAAAACAGAGCCATTTGTATAAAAGAAAACCTCTGAAGTAATGCTTGCCACTTCGCACGAAGCCTGCCCGCTTTCACATTTCTCATCGGGCTAGGAGTGCAGAGAGTGGCCAGCGGGAGCTATGGAGGTGGAAGTCCAATAGTTGATTCACGACGATTAACGCCCAGGTGATGAGATTTTTTATGCAAATGGTTCAGTGTTGAAATATATATCTAGCCACATATGCCCAATATGCCTGAAAGGCCTCGGAAATAATTAATTATTGGCAACTTGCAGATGTTTTAACGATCGCCGCTAGTGCCTTGTAGCCAGACACAGAATGCTACACAAGCCAGAAGGCGGCGATAACGAGAAGTGAGTGACCTCTTTCACCCCCTGCCAAAAACCTCTTCTGGAACCGGCTCTAGTTGGCTATGATTCTCTGACTCACCTGCCGTGTTTGTTCCTCATACCCCGTTCACAACATTAATCCTTGCATCATCATCATCATCCTCGTGTAACAGATCCTTTCTAGAACGTCGCTCTCATCACGGTCTCCCAGAAAGAGACTCAGTCTCTCGCTAGCTCTGCCACCTGGTAAACCTTCACATTTAAGGAGTGACTTATATTGTGTGCTCATCTTCGTGTTGATCAGCCCTTACTGCTTCTTCCAGGTACCATGCCTCCTGCCCATACTGACAGGACTAAAAACATGTTGGGGTCACCCAACAGAGAGAAGAGAAGGCTATTCAGAGATCAACAGAGGCGGGCGATGTCTGCAGCAGGGAACTTCAAGCAGGGGCGCCTCCACACAGAGAACATTAAGAGCAGGAGGACTCGGGTCCTTGATAAATGTCAAGGTATGGGCTGGTGGAGTCTGGTCAAATTGCACCAAATTTTTATAATAATCTGAGCATCCAAAAAATACGAGATATACAGCCAAAATACGCACAAGAAAGCATTACCACAACTTTGATGCACAAGTTTAACCCATCAAAATAGTTCCAGAGAAACTGCTATACGTCACATTTAATAACCCGTGGGATTCCTAGCAAATACAAGAGCGATAAATCAGGCACTCGAATGCCGAAAATGTCTAAGTATTCGAAAATTATTTTCTCAACTAGGCAACCGGTGTAAGGTAGCTATGCAAGAAACACCATCCCACTGTGGAGTTCCCAGAAATGAAAGAACTGATAAACTAGCTAAAGAAGGTGCAAATAAAGAACAATATGACGTACCGGTCTCTTGTCAAAAGAGGAAGAGAATTAATCAAATCAATCTGAAAGCCACCAAAACAGGTGCAAGATTTTTGTAATATTATTGACAGCATGGGGAAAGTCATTATTCTACGTCTTAGAACAGGACACAGTCAACTTCACAGCCATATGGACAAACATTCACGATTGGCGAATCAGCCATGTGCACGTGTGGATTAGCACCTGAGACACGTCCTCCAAGACTGTCTCAAATTCAACATATCGAGGCACATCTTCTGGCCAAGAGAAACACCGGTGCAAGCGTAAACTTTACGGATCGTTTAATGAATTACACAAGACAGTGAAGTTCATACTAGAGAGACCATTGCGGATATCATCATCATCATCATTATCATCATCATTATCATCATTATCAAATCCCTTGCTGACTGGCGAATCGATCATGCCTTCCCACAATCTTCAATTCGCCACTGTGTGTATAACTTCGTATGTTGACACACCCCCATGCCATGACAAAAGGCTTTCTAGAATCCTATGGCGCTGTCTTCCAGTGTCTCTCTTTCCACAGAACTTTTCAGTGGTCACAACATGTTCCATTGTAGATATAGATAATCTGGCTACCCTCTGAATACCGGGCGGTAAAGATGGCGGCCGCAAAATATCCTGACGAGCCACAGTCACGTGTCATTTGCGCACAAGCGGTCACGAGCACATCGCTGGACAATCAGGATTAGTGTCTGTTGACAACTTCGAGAAACGGAACAAACCACCGAGTTAAACTCGCCGCCGAGATGTCTCCCCCGCGCCGCTACGCGCGATGCGGATGGGGCTAAACTAGATGGCTGGGACCCACGAGCAGCAGCTTCCGCATCTCTTGCAGCTTTGCTCGTGATTCCAAGCCATCTACTTTAGCCCCAATCCACGCCGCGTGAGTGGGAGCCACTCTCGACGGTGGCGGTTGTCGCCTGAAAAGCGCAAATTAAGTGGCCGTAAGTGCGCAATTGACACGTGACTGAGGCCCTGTTTTTGGCCGCCATTGGCCGGCATCTTTTGTGCTCGTTATTCGGAGGATAGCCGGTTTGTGGATGCTACTAAAGAGAAAGCTGCGTTACCAATGTGGTACGAACCGCGCCTTGTTCCGATCGTACTTAGCCGAGTTTCAATGGCGTAACAGGCACAAACAGCAGATTTTCGGGCACTATTTACAACTTCTGTGCCATAATTGCCAGGTATAAAGGCATACAATTTTTGGTAAGTAGTCGATTTGATATAACATTTTTTTTTTTGTTCCTTATTAGATTTGACTTCAATTTTTGAATGTTTACGACACATGACACGTGACTGTGGCTCGTCAGGATATTTTGCGGCCGCCATCTTTACCGCCTGTTATTCAGAGGATAGCCGATAATCTATTTCGAACAAACGTAAAAGTAAGAAAAGCAGCGAATAAGACAAGACTAGACAGGATAAAGAATATAGACATTAGAAACACTGTCAAAACTACACCATGTTTAGACTACATAGAACATCAAAGAATGAAATGGTTTGGACATCTAACCAGGATGAAAAATGATCAAATAACATCACAAATTTTCAATCAAAGAAGCTCAGGATATAAGGCAAGAGGAAGACCAAGGAAACGGTGGATTGACGGGGTCTCCGAAACCTGCCAAAAGCATGGCCTCAGAACATCAGATGCTGCCCGCCTTGCTTATGACAGGAACTTGCATCTCCCCACAACGCTTAGCGGCATACGTGGAAGGAAAAAGTAAAAAGTAAAGTAAGTAAGTAAAAGGAAGAGGAAGAAATTGGGCAAGTTTTAATACACCTGATTTTATTCGTACATAACTTTTGATAGGTATGCTGATAAACTGACTAAATACGATATGAGCTAATTTCAAATCTACGTGGGTGTTATCATCTGCATACAGCCTGGAAACTCAGATTTGTTTTATTCTGTGCATACGACAGGAAACTCATCTGTTTGTATTTTGAGCGTATGCACAATGAACTCACGTGTATGTTATTCTGTCCATACAACACTGAACTCACGTGTTGTATTCTGTGCATACGACAGGGAACTCATTTGGGTTTTATTCTGTGCACACGACAGGCAACTCACGTATTGTATTCTGTGCACATGACACGGAACTCACGTTGTGTATTCTGTGCACACGACACGGAACTCACGTGTTGTATTCTGTGCACATGACACGGAACTCACGTGGTGTATTTTTTGCACATGACACGGAACTCACGTGTTGTATTCTGTGCATACGCCAGGGAACTCACGTGTTGTATTGTGTGCATACGACAGGGAACTCATGCGGGTTTTATTCTGTGCACACGACAGGAAACTCACGCGGGTTTTTTTCTGTGCACACCGAAAAGAAATCCTTTTCACGTGAGCCTTATTTTTTCCATTTCCAGCGTTTGATGAAGGATACGTAACACACCCTTTAGCAAACAACTGCACAAGAACAAAAACAGAGACCAGCTATAACTAGGTGTCAAAGATTACTTTTAATGCGAGGAAATGGCAGGTCGGCCATTGTTTGAACGGCACATCTGCTTACGACATTCACGGTCCCCTTCTACACGGTTCTGTTGTCATGTGGTGAGTTGGTACTAGCGGTTATGGTAATGAAGTTCTGGTCAGAAACTGTACACAATACAATCAGCTACAGGGGACTGGTCCTCTGGGTTGCGCCAACAGCGGCGCGTTTTCAACCAGCATCTTCAGTTCTTTGGCGTGGATGGTGCACACTTCTTGGATGGTGCTGAGTACGTTGCCTCGTGAGTAGACTTTGTACATGGGCGTTTTGCAGACGCCCTCCGACTGGCACAGGCCCGGATTAAGAGCGCAGTTCACAGCAGCATAACCGTGGTTCTCTCTCTGTGATGTCCTGGCAGCCTGAGTGAACAAGCGAGTCAATGAATGAGTGAATCGATGAATGAGTGAATCGATGAATGAGTGAATCGATGAAAGATTGAATCGATGAATGAGTGAATCGATGAATGAGTGAATCGATGAATGAGTAAATCAATGAATGAGTGAATCGATGAATGAATGAATCGATGAATGAGTGAATCGATGAATGAGTCAATCGATAAATGAGTGAATCGATGAATAAGTGAATCGATGAATGAGTGAATCGATGAATGAGTGAATCGATGAAGAAACGAATGAATCAAGAACTGGTAAAAGTATAAAAGTAAACGACCCTTATCCACGCTTTAGGCGTATAGGGCTAGACCTTAATTTGTATAGACCAATCGGCACAAGATGGGTGATGTGGTAAGCATAACGCCGGCCGCCTTTACTTCCCAGGACTATTCCGATCCGCGGCGAGCGTCTAGCCGCTCGGCCACGGGGACAAGAACTGGTTTGTTTGCATGATATTTCTGCCCGCTCCTTCCGACGCCAGGTGACAGCTGCCATGTTGATCGTAGAACGTTACTAAACTTGGTAATACAAGCATCGTTGTCTACGCCTTCAGTCTTATTCCGCATATACTGTTTGACTTAGAGGACAAACGGCACTGGGTGCGTGATGTGGTCAGCATCCCGCCGGCTTCCTTTACATCCCATGATTTTAACTAACAGCCATTTTAGGCTAGGTCGACCTGGGAGCTAAGGTAAGTTTATGAAAATGAAAATTTCTGCTGCCTTCAGATTTGAATCCACGACCTTTGGTTCGACAAGGAAGTGTCTAGCTCTAACATTACGACGGCTCGTAAGTAAATTGAGTGAGAACTTGTTTATTCAAGAGGGTCTTGCGACATGAGTGCCTAGCCTTATGTTGTATAGACCAATCAGCACTCGGTATGCGATATCTACAACATTAAGCCGATCACCTTTACGTCCCAGGAAATTATCTGTCACCTTTTGAAGGCTAGGTGGACCAACGAGGTATGTTTGTTTTAGTATACACAAGCCATGAGTTGTTAACCCTCAGGCTCGGTATTATGGATATCGCAACCTTCCGGCCTTGATTCCATTGTAAATACCTTGAATCTGAGAGATATGTGGCTTTTCTGCCTACCCCCGGGAGTGAACTCTGACAACAAGGAGCTCGTCACCCGCTCACCGCGCAATCCGGTTTAGTCAACTACGCTAGAGAGATGGACACCAATGAAGTAAGGTCAATTTTCAATCTCTTAAGATCTCAACTGATCACTGTCAGGTTGAAATGTCTAGGGCATACTGAAAAAATGTCAGATGACAGAGAGGTAAAAACTCTGTACACAAGGGAGCTCACCGGTAGTAAACCACGAGACAGACCAAGGAGAGATAATCTACACACAGACTTGCACACATTTGGTCTCAATAGCTGGGCAAATGAGCACTATCTAGTCAGATGAGTGGAGGCGGGAGATGTCTGCAGCAATGAACCTCAGGATCTCGGAATGCTTAAGAAGGGAAAGGTTCGCAACGCCTAAGCCATAGACGCATAGGAAAGTAGGTTATTTCCATTTAAACACATGTGCTTACAGTGAAGCGAAGGAATCAAAACTAAATTATAAATAAAAATACAGATATGTATTAATAGATAAGTTCTTGATGTGCTGCACGGAAGTTGTACTGTGCTGCGTTTAAGCTGACTCAAGAACCGCCTAAGAGCACACAGAGCTTGTCCATGCCCGCTCTATCCTCATCTGTAGCAGCCGGCGAAGTTCCCAGTACTGACAGCTCCAGGAGAAGATTATTAAATGATGGCCCAGCCTCTCTTCTGTACGGAGTAACGATGATTGAATTAAACATGTTTTTCCACTGAAAGAAATGTATGCTCTACATGGACGCCGTGTAATTGCATTCAGACAGCCCTGGAGGAGTAACACACTCGATTGCTTTGTTATTCTAGTAGTCTACGTCCACACAGCCTTAGAAGAGTAACACACTCGATTACTTTGTTATTCTTGTAGTCTGCGTCCACACAGCCTTGGAAGAGTAACACACTCGATTACTTTGTTATTCTAGTAGTCTACGTCCACACAGCCTTGGAAGAGTAACACACTCGATTACTTTGTCATTCTAGTAGTCCGCGTCCAGACAGCCTTGGAAGAGTAACACACTCGATGTCATTCTAGTAGTCTACGTCCACACAGCCTTGGAAGAGTAACACACTCGATTACTTTGTCATTTTAGTAGTCCGCGTCCAGACAGCCTTGGAAGAGTAACACACTCGATTACTTTGTCATTCTAGTAGTCTACGTCCACACAGCCTTGGAAGAGTAACACACTCGATTACTTTGTCATTCTAGTAGTCCGCGTCCAGACAGCCTTGGAAGAGTAACACACTCGATTACTTTGTCATTCTAGTAGTCTACGTCCACACAGCCTTGAAAGAGTAACACACTCGATTACTTTGTCATTCTAGTAGTCTACGTCCACACAGCCTTGGAAGAGTAACACACTCCATTACTTTGTCATTCTAGTAGTCCGCGTCCACACAGCCTTGGAAGAGTAACACACTCGATTACTTTGTCATTCTAGTAGTCCGCGTCCACACAGCCTTGGAAGAGTAACACACTCCATTACTTTGTCATTCTTGTAGTCGGCGTCCAGACAGCCCTAGGGGTGTGACACACTCGATTTCTTTGTCATTCTAGTTGTCTACGTCCACACAGCCCAAGGGGAGTGACACACTGGATTACTTTGTCATTCTAGTTGTCTGCGCCAAGACAGCCCTGGGGGAGTGACACATTCGACTACTTTATCATTCAAGTAGTCTTCGTCCAGACAGCCCTGGAGGAGTGGCGCACTCGATTACTTTGTCCTTTTTGTAGTCTGCGTCCACACAGCCTTGGAAGAGTAACACACTCGATTACTTTGTCATTTTTGTAGTCCGCGTCGACTGATACACAAGTTCTCCCTTTGAGGAGCTGGGAATGTTTATAGATAATACGACAGTTAAATAGGTAACTATGTAGGCTGGTGCGTTAAAACATGCGTGATTTTGTAATTGTGTATGTGTGTTAAAGGCAGCTAGATTATTTATCTCTTGAGGTAAGTAGCGATCCACTTAGCTATGGTGGGTGGTTTTACACCAGTGGGAATCTAACAACAACAGTAGGCACAGTACTGGTGAGTGAATTCATAGAACATCAAAGAATCAAATGGTTTGATCATCTAGTCGGAAACAAATCAGCCAGCAGGAAGCGTCCTACGTGGGAACAACGGGTTACAAAGCAAGAGGCCGACCAAGCAAGAAAGGGGTGGATGGAGTAAAAAGTGACAATACAGACAACATGGCATCAAGACAAGTTGCACGACAACATATACACACAAACACACACACATACACACATAAACACACCTAAAGGCAGACACTGAGAGACAGACAGATCAAGACATGTGTTGGTACCTTATTGACTTGTGCTCGGGCCCACATGGCCTTCTCCTCACCCTCGTCGCCATAGAACATCACTAGAGCAATGTCCTTCCTCTCGAGGAAGGGTCTGAAGTTGCAGCCGGTCAAGCCGAAGATGTACTCCGATCCACTGTACGGGTCTCTGGACTGAGGATCTACCGGTCTTTCTGCGACAGTGGGAGACACCTCAGGGGCGGGAACCGCTGGCACGGGCTCTATTGGTGCTTCCTGACTACTTTTAGACTGTTGTTTAAAAAAGGACTCCAAGTTTGCAAATTTGGACATGTCAATTTTGTTAACTCCTGCGACTCTGGGAACATCACTGCGTTTAGCCACGTTCGATGACCAATACTTTTTGAATACAGGCTTTTGCAGGTCGTCTGACGTGACTGGGAGCATCACAGAGACACCGTGAGATCTGGCGTAATCCATTTTGATGTTCTTCTGGTGTCACTGCTTGAGGATGAAGATGTTCTTTCACTATACAATAAACGCGTTTAGTACACTATTTCTGTCGACTGCTTTTTGAGAAATATTTAAGAAACAAAATCCATAGAGCGATATATCAACAGATAAACGAGGCCAACATCTAAGGCAAGCGCAGTTGGAGGATTTTGTTTTGTTTTGTTTTTGTCACAAAAAAACTTGAAGGCTATTGATTGATCAAATTGTAGGGAACTGTTCAAGCCGTGCTCCGGCCTGTAGGATGTGCTCAAGGACAAATGGGCCTGGCTGACGTCGTTTAGAGTTGATCACAGTAACATCAGACTAGGTGCCGTTTGGTGCACGAATCTCTGCTTGCCCATTTGAGAAAATCCGTATGCAAAATATGTTGAATTTAGAATCGACATATCAGCACTTATCATCCTCATAATCAGCATCATGCACAAAGTTTCATTTTCGATTAAATCAGTAATGGCCCGACTGTGTGTGCGTTTCGCCTTTTACTTAAGTGTTTAGCGTCGGTCAGCTTCCCTCGTGACTCTTCGAAACAACACTGAATTTTCAGAGCGGACGTAATAGCACTCACATCAGCGTTCTGTCCTCATCTTTAGTAGCTAGCAAAGAGTGCTAACTCCGAGCCTACCAACAGCAGTCTGGGTGTAAGCCTGCATTACGTTTCTTCGGCTATCCTCCGAATAACGGGCACAAACTATGGCGGCCAAAAACAGGGCCTCAGTCACGTGTCAATTGCGCACTTCCAGCTATTTAATTGGCGATCTTCCGGCTACTACCGCCAGCGCCAGGGGTAACCCACACGCCGCTCACGCAGCGTGGGTTGGGGCTAAACTAGATGGCTGGGACTCACGATCAAAGCTGCAGGAGATGCGGAAGCTCGCAAATTAAGTCGCGGAAAGTGCGCAATGACAAGTGACTGAGGCTCTGTTAAGGTATTTTTGCGGCCGCCAAAATATGTGCCTGTTATTCGGAGGTTAGCCAGTTTCTTCTTATTGTGGAGTGTCTCTGGTCACTCCCCGTGGGACCATTCTATTCAGACGTGATCACCTAAATGTGCCTCTGCATTGTTCACTACCTCCTAAAGAGCTTTGACATCATCTAGCTTATCATCCACAAGTTTACCACCAAGTGGCGCAGAAACAGCCAGTCTGTCCTAACACACTTGCATGCCCTGGGGAACATTTCCAAAGCATACAAGTACGCTGAACTGCTGAAACAATGCGTATCATTGCAAGAGAAGCATGTCTGTCTCTACCTTTGTAAGCATGCTTTGCGAATTAGTTACAATCACACGATGTCTGTATGCGTGAGTCTGTTTGTGTGTGCGTATGCGTGTGTGTGGGCGTGTGTGCACGTGTGTAATTGCGTGTGTGCAGCTTTTCTCAAGCCAACAGAAGGCTGCAGTGAACGCCTCTATTTTCAAACCAGATGTTGTGATATCATAAGTCAGGCTTTGTTACGCATAAGGTCATCAGTTACTTTATTTATGAACCTCTCAAGCACTTCTTCTGCCACTCAACATAAAGTCCTCGCTATAGATAATCACATCACCTGTGCTGGAATTGTCATAATTCAATTATTTCTGACTCCGCTGCACACTCTTCCATTTTTCTCAAAGCGTGATGACTCATTGGTGCCTCTGCTCTGCCCACTCGCTCCCAAAGGGCCATTACAAAAACAGCTTGCATCAGTTTACCACTATGTTGTGCAGAAGGGACCTGTCCATCTGCGTATTCATTTCCCAACACACCAACATATGGGAAAAAACCTGTCTCGTATGATGCGATGCTTACTGCTCTTCACGAAGCACACCGGTTTCCACCTTTCCCGACCTGCTCTGTGAGTCGGTTACAATGACGACATGTGTGTACAACTGATTCTAGCTAGCGGAAGGCCGCAGTGATTGCCTCCACCTCCATTCTCAAACTAGAAGTGGTATTATGTGCCAGGCTTTGTTACCTTAGGAAACGGCTAGTCTCTTTTGGTATGAGCTCCCATGCTCCTCGTGTGCCTCTCAACATAGCTCCGTCTGTATACACACAATCATCCCCTCTCTACATAGATCCGTCTGTATAGACACAATCATCCCCTCTACATAGATCCGTCTGTATACACACAATCATCCCCTCTACATAGATCCGTCTGTATAGACACAATCATTCCCTCTACATAGATCCGTCTGTATACACACAATTATTCCCTCTCCATAGATCCGTCTGTATACACACAATCATTCCCTCTACATAGATCCGTCTGTATACACACAATCATTTCCTCTACATAGATCCGTCTGTATACACGCTATAATCCCCTCTCAACACAGATCCGTCTGTATACACACAATAATCGGCTCTCCTTTAAATACCGATCGTTAGCTGGAAAGCCGACGGTCGCTTAGTGGGAGTTCACTCCCCTGGCTGCATTGCAAATACGGAGCGGACAAGTCACGAATCAAAACAGACAGTGAGGGCGACATCAGGTCTGCTAATGCTTGGGTGTTTCCCCAAGATCTGGGTGTTTATTTGACGCTTTGGGGTAATCTGTGTTTTTTTTAATAGTAAATATATCCATATATATATATATATATATATATATATATATATATATATATATATATATATATATATATATATATATATATATATATGTGTGTGTGTGTGTGTGTGTGTGTGTGTGCTATTAGTTGCCACGGGTGTGACTCCTGCAGATCTGTATGCCTTAATGACCGATAAATTTGCTTGGTTAGGGGTAGGGTTAGGGTTAGGGTTAGATGTGACACTTTTAGTCACTTTTTTTAAGGACAATTCGCCATCAATTGGGCACCAGCCGCGCGCTATTGCCGTCATATTTAAAAGAATTCCAGTGGCGCCACTCACATTTTCGGCCATTTTTTGGAACTCCTACGTCAAAATTTTCACATCTAACCCTAACCCTAACCCTACCCCTAACGCTAACCCTATCCCTAACCCTAACCCTAACCCAAACGCTACACCCTACGCAACCGTATGAGGACTACGCAACCGTATACGCAACCGTATGATGATAGGTAAGTACGTCATTTGTTTCGTTCCCTCTGTATGGTCCGTATTTGCACTGCAACCAAGGGAGTGAACTCCCACTAAGCAACCGTCGGCTTTACAGCTAACGATCGTTGTTCAAAGTAGAGCCCAATAATCTCCTCTCAACTCAGATTCGTCTGTATACACACAATAATCCCCTCTCAATATTGCTCCGTCTGTATACACACAGTCATCCCCTCTCAACATAGATCCGTCAGTATACACACAGTCATCCCCTCTCAACATAGATCCGTCAGTATACACACAGTCATCCCCTCTCAACATAGATCCGTCAGTATACACACAGTCATCCCCTCTCAACATAGATCCGTCAGTATACACACAGTCATCCCCTCTCAACATAGATCCGTCAGTATACACACAGTCATCCCCTCTCAACATAGATCCGTCAGTATACACGCAGTCATCCCCTCTCAACATAGATCCGTCTGTATACACGCAGTCATCCCCTCTCAGCATAGATCCGTCTGTATACACACAGTCATCCCCTCTCAACATAGATCCGTCTGTATACACGCAGTCATCCCCTCTCAACATAGATCCGTCTGTATACACACAGTCATCCCCTCTCAACATAGATCCGTCAGTATACACACAGTCATCCCCTCTCAACATAGATCCGTCAGTATACACACAGTCATCCTCTCTCAACATAGATCCGTCAGTATACACACAGTCATCCTCTCTCAACATAGATCCGTCAGTATACACACAGTCATCCCCTCTCAACATAGATCCGTCTGTATACACACAATCATCCCCTCTTAACATAGATCCGTCTGTAAACACACAATAGTCCCCTCTTAACATAGATCCGTCTGTATACACACAATAATTCCCTCTTAACATAAATCCGTCTGTAAACACACAATAGTCCCCCCTCAACATAGATCCGTCAGTATACACACAATTATATTATTATGCAGCGGGCCAGTTGCTGCACTCACGACCTACAATAGAATGATACACCACTCTGGTCTACTCATCTACTCGTCTAATGTGCTCAAGAACGTCCTATTGTATCGTCAGACTGTGCTGTAAAACCCTACTAGTTTCAGCCTGCAGCTTAGCGCTGTCTAGGACTTCGTGCAGGAGTTGCATCTTGTCTGTGATTACTCAGAGATAAACTTTGCTAGCAGCACTTTGAACCTATCTGTAATAGTTGATAGTGAAATTATAATTTACATACATACTATCGAAGTTTCTGTTGAACACACAGAACTGCAGGGCATGGCTTCATGCTGTATACGCATACGTTTTATTACTTGACTCTTTGCTAGGGTTAGCATTCCAAGCACTCACGCACAACGGTCTTCATTTTAGAAGGGTTTTCCTGAAAAAGGAACATACTACCTAAGTGTTTTCTTCTTTTTGTTCTGCGTTCGACATCAGTCATGCTAAACATTGAGTCCCGTCTGGGTCGCAAAAAAGGGTGTGCGTTTAAGGTCGCCACCGGTCCCCCATAGCTTCTCTCTCAGTGTGGCTCCCATGGGCCAGATCCACAGTCTTTGCTGGGAGAGGTAAGGGCAGTACTGCAGAATGTGCTCAGGGGTCTGTTTTTCTGCTCCACAATCACAGGCAGCAGATTCTTTTATGCCTATCATGTACAAGTGTGCTCGAAGACCACAGTGTCCAGTCCGAAGTCTAAAAATTGATGTTTGTTCTTTCCTGTTGAGTTTGTTTATGTTGTCACTCTCTGGTCTGTATTCTCTATTCTGCTTCCTCCACTCCCGCTTGAAAGGCTACTTTAGCGCTGTTTTGGTTTCCTTGTAGCTATGTGGTGGATGAGGTTGTGGAAGATTACTCCCAGCTTTTGCATACGATACTTCAAGCTTGAGAATGGAGGTGGAGACAGTCACTGCTGCGTTTTGCTGGCTTGAGAATCAGTTGCAAACATACCGTTATTGTAACTGACTTACATATAGAGAAAGTTGGAGACATGCATTTTCGTGCAGAGTGGCAAGCATCGCTTTAGAGGTCCCGAGTAGTTAGCATACTTGGGATGTTTTCTCCAGGTATTGGCTTTGTGTTTTGAAATAAGCATGTAGATAGACTGGCCGGTTCATCGTCATTTGGTGGTGAATTGATATATTACAATCTATATTTTGTGACGGCCCTTGTGGGAGCAAGTGAACAATGAAGAGGCACAGAAAAGTCATCACGATTGGCGCTACGAAGTTACCAGGGGACTTGCCTGACCCTCAACACTTAATGTTAATGCGAAACTGATAGACAATCAGACAGTTACTGGTGCTATCGAAAACGGAACTTTAAGCTAGCTGCTGAAGATGGGGACGAAGCGTTTAAAGGAGTGTCCCGAGTGCTATAATGTCGATTGTTAATTCAACATTTATCATTAAACAGTATAACACCTTTCCTTCCACAACTAGCATAGGTTCAACTGGTGGTCTGCTTACTGACCCTTTTACAGTACTGGTTCCCGGTAACATCAGCAGTAAGGCAAGGATGTGTTCTTTCACCTTTACTCTGGTGCCCAGAAACATCAGCAGTAGGGCAAGGCTGTGTTCTTTCACCTTTACTCTGGTGCCCAGTAACATCAGGAGTGGGGCAAGGCTGTGTTCTTTCACCTTTACTCTGGTGCCCAGTAACATCAGCAGTAAGGCAAAGCTGTGTACTTTCACCTTTACTCTGGTGCCCAGAAACATCAGCAGTAAGGCAAGGCTGTGTTCTTTCACCTTTACTCTGGTGCCCAGTAACATCAGCAATAAGGCAAGGCTGTGTTCTTTCACCTTTACTCTGGTGCCCAGTAACATCAGCAGTAAGGCAAGGCTGTGTTCTTTCACCTTTACTCTGGTGCCCAGAAACATCAGCAGTAAGGCAAGGCTGTGTTCTTTCACCTTTACTCTGGTGCCCAGTAACATCAGCAGTAAGGCAAGGCTGTGTTCTTTCACCTTTACTCTGGTGCCCAGTAACATCAGCAGTAGGGCAAGGCTGTGTTCTTTCACCTTTACTCTGGTGCCCAGTAACATCAGCAGTAAGGCAAGGGTGTGTTCTTTCACCTTTACTCTGGTGCCCAGTAACATCAGCAGTAAGGCAAAGCTGTGTACTTTCACCTTTACTCTGGTGCCCAGTAACATCAGCAGTAAGGCAAGGCTGTGTTCTTTCAATTTTACTCTGGTGCCCAGTAACATCAGCAGTAAGGCAAAGCTGTGTACTTTCACCTTTACTCTGGTGCCCAGTAACATCAGAATTGGGGCAACTGTGTCTTCTTGCACCTTTACTCTGGTGCCCAGTAACATCAGCAGTAAGGCAAAGCTGTGTTCTTTCAAATTTACTCTGGTTCCCAGTAACATCAGGAGTGGGGCAATTGTGTGTTCTTTCACCTTTACTCTGGTTTCCAGTATCATCATAAGTGCGGCAATGGTGTGTTCTGTCACCTTTACTCTGGTTCCAAGTAACATCAGGAGTAACGCAAGGCTGTATTCTTTCACCTTTACTCTGGTTCCCAGTAACATCAGGAGTAAGTCAAAGCTGTGTTATTTCACCTTTACTCTGGTTCCCAGTAACATCAGAAGTGGGACAATTGTGTCTTCTTGTACCTTTACTCTGGTTCCCAATAACATCAGGAGTGAGGCAATGGTTAGTTTTTTCACCTTTTCTCTGGTTCACAGTATCATCATAAGTGGGGCAATGGTTAGTTTTTTCACCTTTTCTCTGGTTCCCAGTAATATCAGAAGTGTGGCAATGGTGTGTTCTTTCACCTTTTCTCTGGTTCCCAGGAAATTCAGGAGTAAGGCAAGGGTGTGTTCTTTCACCTTTACTCTGGTTCCCAATAACATCAGCAGTAGGGCAATGGTGTGTTCTTTCACCTTTACTCTGGTTTCCAGTATCATCATAAGTGGGGTAATGGTGTGTTCTGTCACCTTTACTCTGGTTCTCAGTAACTTCAGGAGTAAGGCAAGCGTGTGTTCTTTCACATTTACTCTGGTTCCCAGTAACATCAGGAGTAAGGCAAGGCTGTGTTCTTTCACCTTTACTCTGGTTCCATGTAACATCAGGAGTAAGTCAAAGCTGTGTTCTTTCACCTTTACTCTGGTTCACAGTAACATCTGAAGTGGGGCAACTGTGTCTTCTTGCACCTTTGCTATGGTTCCCATTACCATCAGGAGTAAGGCTAGGATGTGTTCTTTCACCTTTACTCTGGTTCCCAGTAACATCAGGAGTAAGGCAAGGGTGTGTTCTTTCACCTTTTCTCTGGTTCCCAGTAACATCAGGAGTGAGGCAATGATTAGCTCTTTCACCTTTTCTATGGTTCCCAGTATCATCATAAGTGGGGCAATGGTTAGTTTTTTCACCTTTTCTCAGGTTCCCAGTAATATCAGAAGTGTGGCAATGGTGTGTTCTTTCACCTTTACTCTGGTTCCCAATAACATCAGAGTAAAGCAATGGTGTGTTCTTTCACCTTAACTTTGGTTTCCAGTAACATCAGGAGTAATGCAAGGCTGTGATCTTTCACATTTACCCTGGTTCCCAGTAACATCAGAAGTAGGGCAATGGTGTGTTCTTTCACCTTTACTCTGGTTCCCAGTAACATCAGGAGTAAGGGAAGGGTGTGTTCTTTCACCTCTACTCTGGTTCCCAGTAACATCAGTAGTAAGGCAACTGTGTGTTCTTTCACCTTTACTCTGGTTCCCAGTAACATCAGGAGTAAGGCGAGGGTGTATTCTTTCATCTTTACTTTGGTTCCCAGTAACATCAGCAGTAAGGCAAGGATGTGTTCTTTCACCTGTATTTTTTATAATATTCATGCACAATATTTTAAAAAATACATTACACCACCATATATCGATAACAAAAGGACTTCAATGAGATTCTCTTTGCCGACAATCAGTGCATATTCCACAGTGAAAGTAATCAGCTGCAGGACCACATAAACCAACTACACGACAGGTGCCTTAAACATCACATGAAGATCAATATTAACTCTTCGAGTCCCAGGGGGTTTAGCATCAGAGGCCAAAGGGGTAGTCAAAAGAGATGTAAAATGAGCGCATCTTGCGTTTATTGTTCCTCTAAGTAGGAACCTATGAACGTATGAAGCGTTCCTTGGGACTCAGAGAGTTAAAAAAAAACACAAGTCATGAGAATAAGTGAAGAACATTATTCCAAAAGTATTTGTCATCGATCGTGGCTAAAGGAGGTGATGTTCCACAGGCCTGAGGGATTCAGAAAACTGATATGTCCAAATTCAAGAATCTATTTAGGCGGCACGGCGATAAGGATGCAAAAGCGCCCCGGCCTACTATATCTGCCCCAATTATATCTGCCCCGGCTGGTTCCGCCCCGTTTGTTTCCGCCCCGGCTGTGCCAGCCCCTTTTGGTCCTGCGTTTGATGCAGAAAGAGTGCCAGATGAACAGTCGAAAGACCCGTTTTTTGATTCAGATTATGTCTTCAGGTTGACCAGTTGCAACTTCACACCGTTTATTCAGAGAAAGGATATCGCTCTGGTGATGTTCTACGGCGATGAAAGTGATCACCAGGCTGTGTGGGCCAAATTACAAATAAATATGGTAACAGTACATGTCTTCCTCTGTCTGTCTGTTGTGTCTGTCTGCCATCACACACACCTATTGTCGATTTGTCTAAAAAATATGTATAACAACCCATGCCCAGTGCTTCGCTAGAACCATACAATGGTACAAGGCCGGTGCTTTAGCACTCAGTTGTACAAATGCCATAATGGAATAGCAAACTGTTCATCCCTGTGCCGTGTAACGGCAAAAGCGGAAAGTTTATTACACCATTAGCTAGTCAAATGTAAGCTGTCTAATAAAGAAGACATAGCATGTAAACAATCTTGTCACTTATTCATCTATTCATTGACTCAATCATTCTTTAATTTATGCATTCATTCGCTTGTCCTCACAGGCATCTGAGGCGTCAAAGAGAGAGAACCATGGTTATGCGGCCGTCAACTGCAATACTGATTCCGAATTGTGCGCGTCTGAGCGTGTCTGCAAAACACCCATGTACAAAGTCTACTCACGGGGCAACGTACTCAGCTCCATCCAAGAAATCAGCTCTTTGCAAGCAAGTGAAATTAAGATGCTGGTAGAAAAAGCACCAGTCTTGCTGACCCCAAGACGTGCAGTTCCGTTTTCCTGAATATATTTACAATTGCTTCTGACAACAACTTTTTTCCCCCTCCAAATTACTAAAGCCACTAGCACCAGCTGACACCATGGCAAGATAACCGCGCAAACAGAATTCTTGGACGCCATGGGTTCTGTCCAAACAATCGGTGCTCCTCTAAAGCAATAGTTCCACCATCTTCTTATATTAAAAGTATATGACACCTGGTGATGGCTGGTCTTTGATCATGTGTATACCTGTGTGCTTCAGTGCCTGCCTGATGTCTTTGATAACTGTGTGCTTCAGTGCCTGCCTGATGTCTTTGATAACTGTGTGCTTCAGTGCCTGCCTGATGTCTTTGATAACTGTGTGCTTCAGTGCCTGCCTGATGTCTTTGATAACTGTGTGCTAAAGTGCCTGCCTTACGTCCATGATAAGTGTGTTCTTAAGTGCCTGCCTGATGTCTTTGATAACTGTGTGCTTCAGTGCCTGCCTGATGTCTTTGATAACTGTGTGCTTCAGTGCCTGCCTGATGTCTTTGATAACTGTGTGCAAAAGTGCCTGCCTGATGTCCATGATAACTGTGTGCTTCAGTGCCTGCCTGATGTCTTTGATAACTGTGTGCTTCAGTGCCTGCCTGATGTCTTTGATAACTGTGTGCAAAAGTGCCTGCCTGATGTCCATGATAACTGTGTGCTTCAGTGCCTGCCTGATGTCTTTGATAACTGTGTGCTTCAGTGCCTGCCTGATGTCTTTGATAACTGTGTGCTTCAGTGCCTGCCTGATGTCTTTGATAACTGTGTGCAAAAGTGCCTGCCTGATGTCCATGATAACTGTGTGCTTCAGTGCCTGCCTGATGTCTTTGATAACTGTGTGCAAAAGTGCCTGCCTGATGTCTTTGATAACTGTGTGCAAAAGTGCCTGCCTGATGTCTTTGATAACTGTGTGCAAAAGTGCCTGCCTGATGTCTTTGATAACTGTGTGCAAAAGTGCCTGCCTGATGTCTTTGATAACTGTGTGCTTCAGTGCCTGCCTGATGTCTTTGATAACTGTGTGCAAAAGTGCCTGCCTGATGTCTTTGATAACTGTGTGCAAAAGTGCCTGCCTGATGTCTTTGATAACTGTGTGCAAAAGTGCCTGCCTGATGTCTTTGATAACTGTGTGCTTCAGTGCCTGCCTGATGTCTTTGATAACTGTGTGCAAAAGTGACCTCCCTAATGTCTTTGATAACTGTGTGCAAAAGTGACCTCCCTAATGTCTTTGATAACTGTGTGCAAAAGTGACCTCCCTAATGTTCATGATAACTGTGCGCTAAAGTGACCTCCCTAATGTCTTTGATAACTGTGTGCTAAAGTGCCTGCCTGATGTCTTTGATAACTGTGTGCAAAAGTGACCTCCCTAATGTCCATGATAACTGTGTGCTAAAGTGACCTCCCTAATGTCCATGATAACTGTGTGCTTCAGTGCCTGCCTGATGTCTTTGATAACTGTGTGCTTCAGTGCCTGCCTGATGTCTTTGATAACTGTGTGCAAAAGTGCCTGCCTGATGTCTTTGATAACTGTGTGCAAAAGTGCCTGCCTGATGTCTTTGATAACTGTGTGCAAAAGTGCCTGCCTGATGTCTTTGATAACTGTGTGCTTCAGTGCCTGCCTGATGTCTTTGATAACTGTGTGCAAAAGTGCCTGCCTGATGTCTTTGATAACTGTGTGCAAAAGTGCCTGCCTGATGTCTTTGATAACTGTGTGCAAAAGTGCCTGCCTGATGTCTTTGATAACTGTGTGCTTCAGTGCCTGCCTGATGTCTTTGATAACTGTGTGCAAAAGTGACCTCCCTAATGTCTTTGATAACTGTGTGCAAAAGTGACCTCCCTAATGTCTTTGATAACTGTGTGCAAAAGTGACCTCCCTAATGTCCATGATAACTGTGCGCTAAAGTGACCTCCCTAATGTCTTTGATAACTGTGTGCAAAAGTGACCTCCCTAATGTCCATGATAACTGTGCGCTAAAGTGACCTCCCTAATGTCCATGATAACTGTGCGCTAAAGTGACCTCCCTAATGTCCATGATAACTGTGCGCTAAAGTGACCTCCCTAATGTCCATGATAACTGTGTGCTAAAGTGCCGGTCTGATGTCCATGATAACTGTGTGCTAAAGTGCCGGTCTGATGTCCATGATAACTGTGTGCTAAAGTGCCGGTCTGATGTCCATGATAACTGTGTGCTAAAGTGCCTGTCTGATGTCCATGATAACTGTGCGCTAAAGTAACTGCCTGATGTCTAAGATAACTGTGTGCTAAAGTACCTGCCTGATGTCCATGATAACTGTGTGCTAAAGTGCCGGTCTGATGTCCATGATAACTGTGTGCTAAAGTGCCGGCCTGATGTCCATGATAATTGTGTGCTAAAGTGACTGCCTGATGTCCATGATAACTGTGTGCTAAAGTGCCTGCCTGATGTCCATGATAACTGTGTGCTAAAGTGCCTGCCTGATGTCCATGATAACTGAATGCTAGAGTGTCTGCCTGATGTCCATGATAACTGTGTGCTAAAGTGCCTGTCTGATGTCCATGATAACTGTGTGCTAAAGTGCCTGTCTGATGTCCATGATAACTGTGTGCTAAAGTGCCGGTCTGATGTCCATGACAACTGTGTGCTAAAGTGCCTGCCTGATGTCCATGATAACTGTGTGCTAAAGTGCCGGTCTGATGTCCATGATAACTGTGTGCTAAAGTGCCTGCCTGATGTCCATGATAACTGAATGCTAGAGTGTCTGCCTGATGTCCATGATAACTGTGTGCTAAAGTGCCTGTCTGATGTCCATGATAACTGTGTGCTAAAGTGCCTGTCTGATGTCCATGATAACTGTGTGCTAAAGTGCCTGTCTGATGTCCATGATAACTGTGTGCTAAAGTAACTGCCTGATGTCTAAGATAACTGTGTGCTAAAGTACCTGCCTGATGTCCATGATAACTGTGTGCTAAAGTGCCGGTCTGATGTCCATGATAACTGTGTGCTAAAGTGCCGGCCTGATGTCCATGATAACTGTGTGCTAAAGTGACTGCCTGATGTCCATGAAAACTGTGTGCTAAAGTGCCTGCCTGATGTTCATGATAACTGAATGCTAGAGTGTCTGCCTGATGCCCATGATAACTGTGTGCTAAAGTGCCTGCCTGATGTCCATTAAAACTGTGTGCTAAAGTGCCTGCCTGATGTCAATGATAAATGGGTGCTAAAGTGACTGCCTAATGTCCATGATAACTGTGTGCTAACGTGCCTGCCTGATGTCTATGACAACTGTATGCTAAAGTGCCTGCCTGATGTATATGATCACTGTATGCTACAGTGCCTGCCTGATGTCCATGATAACTGTGTGCTAAAGTGTCTGCCTGATATCCATAATAACTGTGTGCTTAAGTGCCTGCCTGATTTCCATGATAACTGTGTGCTAAAGTGACTGCGTGATGTCCATGATAACTGTATGCTAAAGTGACTGCCTGATGTCGATGATAACTGTATGCTAAAGTGCCTGCCTGATGTCCATGATAACTGTGTGCTTAAGTGCCTGCCTGATGTCCATGATAACTGTATGCTAAAGTGCCTGCCTGATGTCCATGATAAATGTGTACTAAAGTGCCTGCCTGATGTCCACGATAACTGTGTGCTAAAGTATGTCCATGACAACTGTGTGCTTAAGTGCCTGTCTGATGTCCATGATAACTGTGTGCTAAAGTATGTCTATGATAACTGTGTGCTAAAGTGCCTGCCTGATGTCTATGACAACTGTGTGCTTAAGTGCCTGCCTGATGTTTATGATAACTGTGTGCTTAAATGCCTGGCTGATGTCCATGATAACTGTGTGCTAATGTATGTCCATGATAACTGTGCGCTAAAATATGTCCATATAACTGTGTGCTAAAGTGTCTGCCTGATGTCCATGATCAAATAATGCTGGGGGAAAACATAAGATTTTCGTGTGGTATGGACAGAATATAACCCACGTGAGTTCCCTGTCTCGTGACCATAATAAAACCAACATGTTTTCTGTTGCATGGACAGAATACATTTAATGTGAGTTTCCTGTCTTATGGATAGCATAAAACCCAAGTGTGTTTCGTATCGTATGGACAGCACAAAACCCAAGTGAGTTTCCTGTTGTATGGACAAAACAAAAGCCTCGTGAGTTCCCTGTCGTCAAAGAATCGGCCGTCATCGTGACGAGAAGCACAGAGACAAACTGCGGCCACTAAAATATTCCGAGCCGTCCTCTCTGTTTCCAGTTGTGTCCTTCGCGTAACCTTGAGTTCATCTTCAAAGGTTCGCGCCCGTTTGCCTCTGGGCTTCATCTTTCTCGCTATTCTTGTGGTGTCCATTGCATTGCCTGTCTTGACCGTCTTTCTCTCTTTATTCCGAGGACGTGTCCAGTCCATCTCCATCTTCGATTTTTAATGTCTAAGTTGACATCTTCTGAGTTTGTCATTTGTTGTAATCTAGAATTTATGTCGAATAGACTGAATATAACTGACGTGAGTTTCCTGTCGCATGGAATGCATAAAACCCACGTGAGTTTCCTGTCGCATGGAATGCATAAAACCCACGTGAGTTTCCTGTCGCATGGAATGCATAAAACCCACCTGAGTTTCCTGTCGCATGGGATGCATAAAACCCACGTGAGTTTCCTGTCGCATGGGATGCATAAAACCCACCTGAGTTTCCTGTCGTGTACATTGAATAAAACCCACCTGAGTGCCATGACCTCTGTATGTGACCTAGGCTCTCAAAGAAAGCAAAGATTAGTAGTGCTGCACTCTACCACAATGTCGTAAGAGGCGACTTAGAGTAGGGTCGGGCTTGGGTTGGCTACCTGATTCTGTGAAATCAATAACTACAACAACAATAACAACAAAAAACAGCCAACCTAAATGGGGGTAAAAAGGGGGTGGGGGGGGGGGGCTCTTCTAATAAAATATAGATGATTTGGTGTGCAGAAAGCCGAAAGGAGTCCGGATCGTCGACATTCCTCCTCTCACCAAGG